ACACGACTTGCTTCAGAATGACTTAGCGGCGATGACTACCGAATACCTGGCGGGCCGGCGCGCACCGCACTTCCGGCGACATAAACGGAAGCAAGTAATATATAGCATGAAATGAAATAAAAATTTATAAAAAGGTAGTCAAGTCACTCCGCTGCGGTGGTGGCATAATGACGACGAGCCGGTGTGATGACTGTGATATTATTGGGTAGCGAGCAATTAGACTCGTAAAATTGAAAATCCGTAACTAACACGTCGAGTTTACTAATTCCTATAAAAATTTGTGTGCACGTGAATAGTGTGAAGCAACGATCAATGTATTTGACACCAATAAATTCAGTTACGTCCAACACTTAGGCAACGTGACAGGAATTTATAATTATACTGAAAGATTGGAAAGGTCTTAACCTTGATGGAAAAGTACAGATGAGATGCAGTATTTTCGGGGAAGCCCTTATTTGAAATTTTCTTTACACATGTGTTCAGCCTTACACTGATTTCATGTGGCTCTTTATTCCAAATGTTGATTTCCCTTACAAAAATAAACATTTATTCTCTTTGCAAATATTTTTCTATTCGCAAATATATTGGCAGGGATGTTATTTAGGCAAAATATTACCAAAAGACAAACGGAAACATATGCGTCCGTGATTTGCAAACTGATTTATGTACCTAATACGTGTATTTATTCAAATTCCCAGTAGGAAAATAAATTACTGAAATGATAAAGGTTAATCAGAAAGATCGGACAGATCTTTGAATTCATGGGAGTTTACTTTTGAACTGATTTTCAATATTTTGAAGCTTGAAAATAACATTTTTGTATATGAAAAAAAAACGCTTATTATTACTTATATATAAATCTATAACATAAGCAAGAATCCTGGCCGTTTATTGCCACAAATTTCCTTGGGGGCCAATCTCCTTACCGGCAAATACATATATTCAACTCAACGCATATGTGTGTGTCTGTGCTAGCGCGAAATTCGACCATATGCCGGTAAACAAGGGTCGATTTTTGCTTATCTCCTCTTTGTTATTTTCACCATTTGCTTAGGGGTGGCTTTTATCACTTGCCAATATATTTGTGCGTAATGTCAATTCCTTTATCTCAATGAAAATTCTGTATTTTATTCCAACAGTAAATGCTGCAATGCGAAACACAAATTAAACGCTTTTAAGCCATTTTTTTTACTGATTTCGAATCTGAACACAACAAAATTCATCCAATGATAAACTCTTGACACATCACTTTACTAAAAATCCATTGGCTTACAAACTATTGTGCACGACTGTTTTTGTTTGTCTATTTCATTTGCACTTTTCTTTATTTTCATCAAACAAAAGCCGTCTTGGGAAGAATCCACGTTTTACAAACAAAACTCGTCAATGATGCACTGGGGACTATGTATGCCTTTAAGGGCTTTACTTCATCTGTGATAGCAATACATTTATACAAATTTATTTTTATCCTACTTTCATCACATCCTCCCTCTGTGCTCAAGTGTAGGAAATGAAACGAAACATTGGGTAAATTGAATGTATGCTGTAGCCACTCTCCGGTACATGGGTACTTGTCTACAAACTATGGGAAGCCATAAAGCACACGCCCTAAATTCACACAAAAGATCCTGTTGGTAATTGAACGTCGAGCAAAAGCACCAGCAACTTATGGAATACAAAATACATTCAATGCAAAGGAACTACGCCAACGGATACATACATGAAAGCAGACAATTGAGAAGGTGGACGCACAAGACGGAAGGGATAACGATGATGAGTCAAAACGCCGGTGAAGTAAAATGTCAATACACCGGCGTATAACTATGGGAGTAATGAATACAATTAAATTGGAATATATGATAGTTTTATGTAATAAATTTAATTTTATTTATATAAAGAGAAATTTAGTAAATATGTTTAAAAGGAAATAACATAAAACTAATAATTATTAAATATCCAATTAGCGCAGAATTGCATAGTTCAGCTTTTACCGTTTTGTATATTATAAACGTAAAATTTGAAATATTTTAATTAATTTGGTTCGCGTTGTGTTTTTGGACTATTTTTTCAATTTCAGCACAAAACAGCTGATCGTTAAATTCCACTTAAACAGCTGCTTTCGGCTGATTGAAAAAAAAAATTATCTCAAGGCTAATAATAAAACTAAATAGTTTTATTTCGAACATTTTTCACCAATTTTTTTAAATGCTCCACATTTTTGGCTACTTTTTAAATAACAGCACAAATTTTAAAGAAATAAAAAATATAAAAAGGTTTTTGTGGAAATGGAACAGCGCTAATGCTAAAGGAATAAATCAAATGTCAAATTCAGCTGACGTCTCTGCTTTTATAGAAACTCTCTGTACACGACAATCAGAAGTTATTATAAAATATGTGCATTTTCTTACAAAATTTGTTCATCTGTCACAAATATGTGCATGTAATTATGTATTCATGAATATATGTATATGCGCTTTTCGCACGCTGCGTCAATAATTAGCATTGTACGTAATTGTCATTGCCAATGCAATTGGAGCGTCCATGCTAACAACAAGCAACTGTGCAAAGCTAATTAAAAGAAAATCAACACGCAGTAAAAACGCAATATTGAAAAAACATATATGTACTGGAAAAACAAGAAATCAGCGCAAACATAATTCAAAAGGAAAATATACAAGAGCGAAGCACAAACAACAGCAAGCAGTAAGTAAAAATTACAGGTAAACAGAATGCTGTTGGACAACTGATTGTGACGTTTTATATACATACATATGTATATACAGATGTGCAGAGATAAATAAATGGCAAATCAAGTTGTCACATTCCCAACATACACACAAACTCATATATACATATGCCATGCATTTAGTGCATACCCTCAAGCGGCACTTTATTTGGGGCAAACAATCTTAGAGACGTCAACTGTCAAGTAATTAGACAATAAATAGTTTTCAATGCAGAATTCTATTAATTCATGATTTTCTGATTGTTTTATATATATGTATATAATAGCTTTTAATAAGCTTTTCTACAAACCGCAAAACTCCACATGATAAAGGTGGCAACGCCGTGTGGTTATAAACAACTTGCTAAGCAAGCAGCTCATCCACCACCAATGCCAAGGTGAGGAAGCCGGTCGAAAATGCAAGCACACAAACATGTACACACACACAAAAGAGCCAAAAACAGAAAACTACATGCAGTCGCCGGAAAGTAGACGAATAAGCCGACAATGGAATCAAAGAAAAGCCAAAGAATGACGAAAACTATAACTAAGGGGAGACCTTTGAAATTAATGCATATTATTAACAAAAAAAAATACAGGATCAATGCATTGTTTTTTTATGTTGATAAAAAGACAAAGATTTGATTTGTTTTGTGTGCAATGAAGTAAGGAAAAATTTTTCGCTAATTCTATATCATCCTAATACATTTTATTTATATTTAACAATCAATAATTTTTAAATATAAAACTTACACTTTCAGCTTGATTTTTTTTTTCAAGAAAAATTCGTTGTTTTTCGCCTTGATTGCTTCTGCAGTTTTTCGCGAATACTTTTTAGTTGGCAGTAGAAGCTTTATTATGTCTCAAAAGTATTGCACACCCACGACTATTGAATTATTGTAAATATTTTAGTTATATTTAGCTAAGCTCTTCAGTATAGCTTTATATAATTCTATTTTTTATATGAACACAGCTGTAATTAATTTGCACTAGACGAAATTAAACAAATCAAAAACAAAATATACAAATTATTACAAACTTGCTTCACCGTTTTCACGTTTTTTTTTTAATTTCAACCTTTATGTGTGTGCGCAAATGCGCAGAAATGTTTTCACACAAATTTTACAAATTGGGCGAATGTCAAAACTGTAAAATATTTCTTTTGCACACTCAATTTTATATATAAAAAAAAAAAATAAACAAAATGAGCAAATTTCCAGATAAAATTTTCAAAGCACTAAATGTCAGACAAAAAAATTAAATGATTATTGAAAGAACTCAAAACTGAATTGCATTCAAAATATCCTTTGTGACAATTTGTTTGATTGTGTGGCAATCGACAAAAGCAAAAAGGGCGGTTTCGCTGCTCCTATTAGCGACAAACACCGGTAAAAGGCAACAGCAGCATCACCGCATACATCTGCATCTACGCGCTTACACACATACATACAGACATATCCCAAACAAGCAACTTGTCTACCCCACACACCCTTCCCATTTGCTTAATTTTTTAATTTTATAAGCACACAAAGGATACTCGGCGCACTTGTCAAATTTTTCTTATTTATCTTCAAATGAACCAAAATGAAATTTTATTAATATGCTACTATAGAAAAATGCTTCCAAAATACTAATATTTCTATTGTTTAAAATTGATTTTGGCTCATTTTGCTTTAATTTTCTTACATAGTTATTTTTTTTTTAACACAAGATTGCTGTAAACCGCCTGCAATTAACAAAACTCGCACAATTATTTCCACAACTATCGCTCATAACGCGTTGCTAGCTCGAATGAATTGTTCGTTCGTCGCCGGCTCGAAAGAAACCCGCTGCCGGCCTATCTGCACGAAGTGCTGCCATTTTCAAACAAAAATAAGTTCGCTTGTAAGCACTGGTCACGAACATGTTTGAGTTGCGCTGCATTCGGATGGTTGCCACAGTGGACGCAAAAAAAATATATAAAATTCCCAAAATTTAAAAGTGTGCAATATTCCAGCGGTATTGGAAAGCAGCGAGTAGGAATACACTATTCTGCCATGTTATTTGACATGCTCTGTAATAACCACTTTTAGTGCACAGAAAATGTAAAAGTACATATGTAAACATTCCTAGTGGACAGAATACATACGTTATTCCCGCATACTCAAATAGTTTTATTGATATATAATATCTTCCTCCTATTTTCTATTTTTCCTTACCACTTTTTTAATACTAATACAATATGTTATTTAAAATTTAATACAATATTTTTATTTATTAATCCATATTTTATTTTCTAATTATTCTCTTTGACGGCATAACACGATTGCAACTTATTCACTATATGGTTTGGTACTTCTACACAGCTGAATATACCATAAACAGGTAACGGTGTTTTTTCAATCCACTTATCATTCTCTCTATCATATTGCTCGACCGTATACGCATCGTGTCCGCCAAGCGCCCATATCCGATTGCCAACTACGATGGCACATATTCCGAAACGTGCAATATTTAATGGTGCAATCTGCAATTTATTTACTTAAAAATGAAAATCGTAAACTTTTCGCACATGTTACAAACCTCTCTCCAAGCATTTAGCTGTGGATCGAAACACTCGGCAGCAGCTATGTAGCCTTCATTGTAACCACCAATAATATATATCAAACTATCTAATACCGCAACCTACAAGAAACATAACCTCAAATGCTTGTAACATTCTACTATTTTATTGCAACTCACGCCCGGCCAACCACGTGCTCCGTGCATATCACAGCAACTTATCCAAGTATTTGTTAATGGATCATAGCATTCCACTGCACTGAGTGGCCTACAGTTTATGCTCAGACCACCGAATATGTAAATTTTGCCATCGTAAACAGTGGCACCTGCGCCATATCTGTGATAGGGCATGGAGGGCAGTAATTGCCATTGGTTTGTCGCTATATCGTACCTAAATCCACATATCGGATAGATTTTTTTACAGTAATTTCTTTCTGAGGTTGTGCACTCACATTTCCGCTGTATCGAAGGGATCGTCGCCATCGTGTCCGCCGAAAGCGTAAATCTTCCCACTTAGAAGCACCGCGCACAAGTCATCACGACGTTGAGACATCGCCGACATTTGCTGCCACTCAAAGGTGTGCAAATCAAGACATTTAATAGTGTCATTCCGCTGTGTGCCTCGAGAGCGTCCACCAACGAATAGCAGATAGTTCTTGTGATGAAACACAGCATAACTGTAATCGATAAATTTAAATTCAAAGCACTTCTGCCATTTGTTGAGGGACGTGTTGTAACGCAGGATGGGTTTGAGCTTCTGCAACATCAGTCAGATATTATATTAGAACTTTTCAGTCTCTATAAATATTTTTACGCACTTTTACGTCGTTCAAAGTCAGCAGTCGGCAAGTCCGCTCATTTCTCGCCTTTAAATAATCGGGTTTTAGCCGGTTATCGGTAACGGTCGATTCGCTCAGCAATGACAATGCTTTGGCTGGTACTTGGTCGCCATTAAACAGAGGTTTTATGTATTCTTCTATGAATGCCGCATCAAATTGACCGAGTTTCAACGCTGGTATGAGCTGAGAGAGATCTTTTCGGCGATTTTCTTTATCGTGCTCGTACCAACGCATAAGCGCCTGAAAGACATCTACTTCACAATCGATATTCAGTTCATCGGCACTTACAATTTGTTGTAGTATTTCCGGTGTGTAGTCGAGAAACTCTGCGCTATTGATTAACTGTTAGTAGAAGTAGAATCATGAGATAATTTAACCATAAAAGATCTAGAAATTATAATAATTAGTAATTTAATTTCTCTTTGCTGATCCTTGATAAAAGTAGTTTTTTGTTTTTATTTTTCAAGTAAATTAATTGCGATATTTTGCCGATAAAAATCGCACATACTCACACAATCTTATCTCAAATCAATTTATGTACGCAAATAAAGTAACAAAACACTTTTCGCTTTCAGATCAGTTTTCATAAAATTATTGAACTTACCTGGGCAAAGTTTTGTATCGCAAAGCTTATGGATTGATCTTTTGACTGTCCAATCGATGACGCCATATTTGCTGACTAAACTTCTCACGTTTAGACCTTCAGCTTTACATTTACGCACGAGGCGACAGGGAGTGACTAAAAGCGGTTTGCACGCTAAACTATTATATATTCATGTATGTATGTATATGTATATGTAACGGTATTCAATGGCAACGCGAACGGGGAAATACCGAACTACGATTTCACAATAAATGAAATAACAAAATTGATTACTCAAATTTCATGAAATCTGTCAAGATGGAGTGCTGATGTTTCTATTTAAATATTTTATTCGAAATTAAAAACACGAATTAAGGTATTTTTTATTTATTATATAAAATATTAGCTAGTTGTAACTAATAAAAGGACTTCAGCATGAAACACCCAATCGTAGATGCTATCGATATTTAACGGTCTAACAGTAAAATCTGTTCTAAGCACACTCAATGCACATCTACAAACCAAGAAATTATATAAAAAATTATACTTATAATATACTACTTTAGCATAAATCTGCTGCATCACCCACTTAACAAAGTCTAGAGTTTAGGATATCGAGTTCAAATCGAATAAATTAAAGTAATAATATTAAAAACAAAAACACTTAGTAAATAATTACTTAATAATAAAAATATTACTGTTTTCGACTCAAGTATTCCAATATTGCTTGCGTAAGTTTCTTATTGTCATCCCGCAAATCCTTCAAAACCTCCAATTTCTCCCTTTCCACTTTGACCATTTCTCTCATAAGTTGGTTTTTCTCGTCGGCTGATGTCTTCAAGCTTTCGCACATCGAAATTATTTTTTCCGAATTTTGTCTTTTCGACGCGCCCACATTTACGGAAGCCGGCAATTGTGTGCTATAGGGCGGAAGCGGTGTAAATGCGTGGGAATCGAAGAAAGGCGCCGCCAGAGGAGTCAAAAAAGCTTCTAAGTTAACGGGAACTAAATATATGAAATACAAAGAATATAGTTGAGCTAAAAAAATTATGTATGTACCTTTATTCTCCATGCTTTCTTCAGAAGCAGCATCGGTGGTGTTGGAAGACTTACGGCTGATTATTCTGTGCACCTGTTCGTATAATGGCCACGCCACCGGCGCAGTGGATGTTGCAAAGTCCATACTGCATTTTCTGAAAGAAAGAAATCGAAAAGTTTTCAAAATTTCTTTGTTTTATTGCGTCCCTTTTAATGTTTACCTATACTTAGCAGTCAAGTTGGCTATTTTGTATTTTACATCGAGCACGGAGAGTTCCATGCCGTATTTAGCCAACTCGTCGGACATCTCCTGGTAAACATGAGTATTTTTCTTCGCACCTAGCAATTGGTCACGTTGTTGCTCCCACAAATCGACAAAGTAAGCTTCTGTCGATTCATTCCAGAAAGTGCGCTTTCTCCTTTCCTTTACCGCAGTTTCCATAATTATTTGTGCTGTCCAGATTTTCCTTGCTATTTACAACCTATTTGTTTATATTTTGTGCAACAGTGTGGCCAAACTCTTGATATATAGGGTTGTATAACACCAAATAAATGTGGTGTTTAAGGTGAGTTTATTGATGCTTAAGCTGAACTGCATAATTTGTGTAAGCGTATGCGTCAGTTTGACATTTGAAGTGAATACACATGTTCATTATCGAAGAACCTCATGACTAACGCGTGTTGGGAACATTAAAAAATTGGAGTTTTTGGATTGAAATATGAATAGAAGTTGTTGTGAGCATGGCAACGCAACTAAACGCATTGCCACCCTTGCGTTTTCGCTAACGCATATGGATGTCATGCATATTCAATTTTAATTCCATAGTAAACGCCATGTTTAAGGATAGCATTTTACAATAAACACCAAAGTCTTCTGATAAAATAGATTTTAATCGTGAATATAACGAAAATTTGTACTGGCACAATAGATAAGCAAAAACGGCATAAATATTTGATGAGTGATGAATCGCTGCAATAAAACCTGAATTTGTAACGCATCAAAAAACATGGCAATTAAATCAAAATGATTTATTTACAAACTAGCATGCTTCAAATTGGAATAATAAAAACAAAATAAAAATAGATGGCATACAAATCAAGTAGAAATCAGTAAACTTAACCACTAATTAAAATGCATTTAGTTTATCATCACTAAACTTAAATACACTCATGATATATTGATGCGTCTATATGCTTGGCATACACGCATTTAACTAAACTTACGTAGCATGAATCACTAGTCCATGGCGTGTGTCCAACCAACCAATTACTTTAAAACCCAAACAACACTTTTAAAATTGTTACACTAAGAGTTTTTTTCCCAAATAGAAGTGCATTAAAAAGCACTAACAATTAAGACAACGCATGCTCTGTTAATTTTCGCGAAACAATAACACGAAAAGAAAGAAATAGCTGAGTTAAAGAAAATCCAATAGCATGGTCTTAGCATGTCCGATTTGTTGCACGCCACATGCTTTGCGCATGCGTAACGCCACTGAGCTTTTTATGGTGTTTGGTAGGTTTTCTGTGTTTTACAGTTGTTGTCAAATTGGACCCTGATGGCAAAGAGAGTGTAAAGGATGCTTTAATAAATGGACGCAATGATGAGCGACTGACTTAGGAGAAAATTCCATCACACCCGATTTCCGTGCGGTGTTATAGATATATTTGACAATATAGTTGTAAATTACAACCAGACAACGTATACGTTCTCTCTTACAACTTCCTATTACACAAAACAACCAATGCTTATGTATGTATGTAGTTGTGCTTTCGTAAATATTAAATACTCAACATATTGCACATCGTAACATGTTTGACAATATACATATGTATATGTACGCAATACATGGATGGATTATGAATTGGTTTCCTGTTACTTTTTTAAGAAATCTTATAGATAACACAAAGATTCGCAGGAAAGTTAAACCATCCAAAAAATGTGCAAGCGCAAAAATTGCAAATATTAACAGTTTTCATACCATAAAAACCAGCTGTTGCGGTGTTACCAGCGCGACGCTTATCAACGGAAAATCGAAAGTGGAAAAACCTAAAAAATATGCTTAGATATTTCTTAACTATCTTTCTCTCTTTTTTCACTTAAGAAAACTTCTTTTAATTTATAGATATTCAAATTCAAATTATAAACCTAACACTTATTAAGTTATTACAAACTCCGTTTTCCTCTAAAATCTCTCAAAACATATGTACGTCAAACAAGTGGTAACGCTCGCGGAAACAGCTGTCGGCGGTGCACAGCTGTCAGAGCAAAATCTGAAGGGTTGAAAAAGAACAAATTATAGAAATTCATTTTATTCTTAAAAGTCGAAAAAGGTGCACAAATCGTTAAACCACGTTAGAGAGTCGTAGCGCAGTGTGAACGAAAAAAACTCCTCAGTTAGTGCCACTAATAGTGATAAATTTATAGTGTTTGTGTATAACGCATGTAAATATCATTTGTTACCATATGCAAATCAGATAAATTGTTTTGTGATGAGTGATTGGAATAAATCAAATTAAGCGCAATATTCACCTATGGGCGATTTCTTATACGCTCGGCTACCAAAGACGATTGCCTGGGCGAACGCTAGCAGCTAGCAAGGATGTGATGTGAAAAATGAGAAAAAGCGATAATGCAATCAGAAATTAATGATATATAAGTGTTTAATAAATAAAAAAAGCGTGCATTGATCAATACCACAACAGTTGTGTAGAAAACTTGTGCATAAGTTGTAGTTAAGGATTTGCGATTTAAAACTAAGTGAAACATACATACATGCATCAGCATTTTGATTAGGAACAACGTCATAATTAAAAATTTGTGCTTGTGATATTCTGTGCTCCCAGTTGGAAATATACCATTGTGTCTAACTTCCCTGAGTGGATGATGAAGATGAATATATTCAATTCCGTGCCTACGCCCATCATAATTATTTAGTTTGGCGTTTTTCCAAAAGTGATTTTGCAATTCATAAGTTTACTTTTATTTATAAATGTTTGCGCTTATATAAATGTACTTGTGGTTTAAAAATTGAATTTTTTTTTTTTCAAAAATCAATGCAATGGATTTAGTTAACTTAATCAGATCATCGTACGATGACTGCGGAGTAATGTTTTCCGAATCATGGTACAAGGTACTGAAAATGGAAATCAAAATTACGGTGAGTGACAAATCAAAACACACATTTTGTGGCAATAAAATTCTTCACGACTCTTTGAGGAATTATTTCCGTCTTAGTTGTTTTTGTTTTTTGTTATTCATTATAAAACATTCGTTGCTGTGTCACCCCGCTGTTATCGGTGACAATCAACAGCCCTATGTTGTTATTGTTTGCTTATCAAAAATGTTTTTATTTGTTTCTTGTGGCTAGCCGCTAGATATATTTTGTTTGTTTTTGTTTAAACTTTGGCACATGTGTTACTGTGTGACCTAGCGATTTTTCGTACTACTTCGTTTTAATTATTTCGACTCAAATTATTGTCAAACACATTAAAAGAAGTTTAAATTAAAAGTAAATTTTTCTGTTGATAACTATTCTTCATAATTCAAAGTCTTGACGTTAGCATAGCAATAAACATACATACGTGAATGTTCTGTGAATGTATATTTATTTCCGCTGCACCTGGTGCGATTTGAGATTAAAGCGATTTAAAGTCCTATTGGACTTTGAACGATTGTGATTTACTCAGAATTGTGTTTTAATAGTCTAATCGACAAATAACAATTATTAAGTGCAATTTGCTCATATGTTGTTGTTTTTTTTTTTTTTTTGTTATTTGGGTATTTTGTTTTTTGTTTTTGTGGAAATACTTTTTTTAATACAAGGTTTATCTCGTCACTCTTTTATAGCCACAAAGTAGGAATCAAATTTATTTCCATAATATATGATATGGGCTTTACAGCACATTTCCACTCCTATTCTAAGCAAATTTTTTTTTTTTTTTCGACTAATGACTATTCAATTTCAAATCAACGCCCTGTTCTTGACAAGAATTACACACAATTTACATGTCAAGTATTCTTTATCTGCTTTAAACATACACATATGTATGCGTGTACATACATATGTACATATATACAAACATTTATGAACTTATGCATATTAGCGATGACGAGGCCATACATAGGTTATCATAAAATTTAAAATGTTTCAGTTTTCCAATTAGAAGCTTACATTGTATGCATATTTGCTCACACTCCCATATTCCTATACTGATGCATTTGCTGAATAATTGTTTTTGAGTCAATATGAGCTTATGATCATGTGCAAACATTTTAAGCGTTCATGAATTATCTATTAACAGGAGTATAATACCTGTTTAACGCTCGGTTTCCGGTCACTCCCGTATTTACATATTATATTCGCGCATTAACTTAGACCTTATGATAACCGAGAGATTGCATAACTATACTGGGAAACTAAAACTTTAAATTAGTGTCCATTGTAACATTTTTAATCAACAATAATGTAGAAGTATGTATTGCACATGTGACCAAGGTTTCGTATTGGCGACACTCACATGTCACACATGTCGTCCGGATTTCTTATCACTTCTAAAATATATAACTACAAGTTTTGATTTGTTTCGCACATGTGCATATGCGCATGTACATGCAAATGTATTTATAAAAATATATATGTGTGTTGTGGTAATGTACATATATAAATTTCTAATCCATTTTTTCTAATACTCTAATTCCAATCATAATTCTTATAAATAATACTGTCACAGTAGATATGAGTATAAGAGTTGGAGCAGTTTGAAACCATATGCACACAAAAAATCTATGTATAGTATGTATGTATTACAATATAAAGAGTATGTATGCATGTATGCATGTAAATATTTCAAAAAGGAACAGTGAAATTATAAAATTGAATTTTATTTTTTACAACCAAAAGTTTCTGCCAATGAATGCATATATGCATATGTACATACATACATACATTTATGTAAATATGTTTGTAGCTAAACAAATGAGTTATCTACATATGTACATATATGTATATATGACAGTTGTACCCCTCCAATCATTTAATTGACCCCAATATCCAGAGTAGTTATATTATTTGAATATTCTACGATTTATGGCTATTGGCGAAAAGCTAAATGTTAAAAGGTAAATTTGGTAAATTTCATTTTATATTTTCTTTAATAAACTTATATACACTTATACGCCTTCATTTGATGAGAACTTGTAGTAAAGGCAGATATAAGAACAAAAATATGCATTTTATTTGTATTTATTAATAGAAATTCGAAAATTCGAAAAATTTACAAGCATATACATACAGACACACAAATATTGGGTAGTCGAATTAGTCTTTTCGTATTTCTAATCAAACTTCAACTTATTTTTTTTATGTTTATAATAATAAATAAATAAATAAATTTTTTGGTCGACTTTTTGCCATTTTTCCTCTAGAGGCATTATTCCATCAGTGTAAATCAAAATTCCCAGAACGGAAGCGAGCGATCCGATGTTGTACTACACGAACTTTTAAATTTTATTGGTGGCTTGCGTACCAGTCTTCCCTTTATTACATAAAAAATTAAAATATAGCGAATTTTTTCATTATTTATCTCATTTTCAACTTTTGTACTTCGCCGAATTAATTTTTTTTTTTTAAATGAAGCTTAAAATCTCATATTTCCAACACTATGTAGTATGATACAATGCTATTAGTAGCACTGGAGATATACGACTGCAACAGCATCTCTTGACAAAATACGAAAAAAAAAAAATATTCGACAACAAAATGAATTTTTTTTTGTAATTCCCTAAAATTTTCTTTTTTGTTGTAACTCTTAAAATTCGATTTATGTCATATTTATTTAAATATTAAAAATCTAACGACAAACCCAAATATAAAAAACGATTCTTTGAGATCCTTCAAATTATGTTCTTAACTAGATATTCTGTCCTATATGATGTTCCAAAGGTATATCCACCTTACCTTAATTGTTTTCAAAAATATGGTGTGTATGCAAACTGATATTTATCAATGCTTAAGTCGTTGGCTTCAAATTATTTTCCCTCAAATATAATCTTATTTGTGCTATTGCCTCTTAGATCTCAAAAAAGAAAGAGTAAACCAAATTTGTAAACACGTGTCTACTTTTTCCTCAATTGTATGTTGACAATTGATTTATTGTGAACTGATATCAAATGAAAAGTTACCCAAATATATTATAGTAAGTTTGCGACTAAGTTTGTTACACCCAGAAGGAGAATCAGGTGTTGGAGATGCTACACAAACATATGCATGTATG